GGCTCCCTTTCAAATCCTCCATTCACTGATGAGAAAATAAGTCATCCCAAAGGAAGCTCATTTTTTTTTTTTGTGGTAAGGTCCCTGGATTCTTTGATGAGGGGATGTCATTAGCTTGTTAGACATGGCCCTTCCATGCCAGACAAAACAGGAAGACTCCTAACGTGTGAGAATGTGGATTTGCCTTCACTAACTAGAAGACGGTTCTGGAGGCTGCCCATTGCCAGCAAGGGCTCAGCTACAATAACCATCTTTAGGTGAAATTCTCTAATATTAAGATGATCAGCATTAAAAGTAAGTTCACCTAGCAGAATGATTTATATATCTGCTCATGGGTTCATTTTGATGCTTACACTTCCAGAAATGCTTTCAGAACACTTGTTGTCTAGGTTCAGATATTCCATGGAAACACAAAGAGACTGTCTACAGTCACAGTAGACAAGTGCCTATCCTCAAATTCACACATAAACAACTGCTGGAGCCCCAGCCAACTGCCTTGAAAGTCACATGCATCTGGTAGCTCAGGAGGCCATCACATAGGGGTAAGGAAGTTCCCGGATCACAGCCATAGAGGGTTAGGATCTCCAGAAGAAACAGCTTTGAATTCTGCTTCTTTATTATTCTGTGAGGTAATCATTTGTGCTCTCTGCCTTCCAGGCACATGTTAACATTTTCCTTCCTGGCCCCTTTGGGATTGGGTGGGACCACACATCTAGTTCTGAGCAATGAGTTGTGGGAAAATTTGTGAGCAAATCTGATATGTGTCACTTCTGGGCTGAAACATTTAATTGCTCATGGAAAACCTTCCAGGCATCTTTCCCTCTTCTAGCAGCCAGCAATGGCGGCGATGCAGATCCATCAGCATGAGTCCTGAGACTGGGGGGACCTGAATTAGTGACTCTAGCCTAATGGCAAAGCAGATGAGGTTTGCATGAGAAATGATTTGCTATTTAGAATGCTCATGTTTTCGATTTGTTCCATCACATGATGGGTACAAAGACAGACTGTATAATGGTCAGATGAGGAAGGGACATGGTATCATATCATAGTAGACACATGGTTTCTCAAACAGATATGAAAGTCATATCACTTTTCTGGCTCTAAAATGTGTACTTTCACAAATATACGCTGTTTTTTTTTTAAATGGAATGCTGTCTTAACTCTTTTTTAATAACCTGAATGAATTTTGACATATACATACACCTGTGAAACATCACCAATATAGGGTAACATGCTCTCCCATTACCCCTAAATGTTTGCTCATGGCCCTCTCTAGTTCTTTGCTTGCTCAGTCCCTGGCCCCAGCAGACCACTGATCTGCTTTCTGGTCACTATAGATTAATTTGCATTTTGTAAACTTTTATATAAATGAAATGATCCAATATGTGTTCTTTTTTATCTTGCTTCTTTAATGATCTTGTGATTCATCTATATCACTGTGTGTATCAATAGCTCATTTCTTTTTATTGCTGATTCAATATCCCATTATATGGCTGCACCAGGTTGTTCATCTATTCAGCAGTTGATTGACATTCAGGTTGATTCCAGTTTGGAGTTGTTAAAATATAAAGCTGCTATGAATGCTCATGTAGGAGTCTTTGTAAAACCTCTGTTTCCATTTCTCCTGAGTAAATATCTAGGGGTAAAATGGCTGGGTACCATTTTATACTTCCACAAGCAGTGGGTGAGAGTTCCCTGTCTAATCCTTGAGATACCCAACCTCTCTCTCCCTCACTTACTGAACATGAACATTCACACACACACACACACACACACACACACACACACACACACACACACACAAAGGAGTAAGTTTCTACATAAATCTTGTAGAAAAAATTCTAGCCTTGCCTTCATTACAGAATAACTTTCTTGTCTCTATGGTCAAGTCAGTTACCTTGTAACCTCCCTTTTCCCCATCTTTACCAGTAATGTACTCATTCACATCATACCAGAACAAAAAGAGCCTATCCTGTTCCACACTGCTTTCATCTTTCTCTGAGATCTTTACCTACTGGTATCACTGCCTACCTCCCCCAGTGGACCCACTGATCTTTCTAAAAGCATACATAAGACCTTATCCCTCTAAAGTTTAAAATCACCAAAGTACTCACTCCTATATTTCCATTAGGATACAGTCTCCCCACTGTGGCTCATGAGGCCTCCTTAGATAGCCTACTGATCTCCTGTACCACTGTTACTCCCATTCACCTGGTTCCAGCCACATTAGTCTTTCTGGCCTTTTCAAATATGCCATACTCGTCCTCAGGGCCCCGGCTCTTGCAGTGACCACACTCTTCTCCCTTGACTGGCTGCTTCCTTTGTTAATATAAGCTTCTGTCTAAAGCACCATACCCCTCCCCTGCTGCCCTGCTTATTTCTCATCATTCTTCTTAAAGGACCTGTAAGGATATTTGTTAATTCTTTGTTTACATGTTTCTCTTTCCCTCATCACAATGTCAACTCCAAAAGGGCAATGACCCTTGCTTACCTTGTTCTCCACTGGGCCCTGATGCCCAGAAACATACCTGAGATATAGTACTCACCAATAATCTTGGGATAAATAAATGTCTAAGGTGTTGGGAGCCCCGCTGCATGAGGATTGTTCTGTGATCTGCATTTGTTTAATCTAGATTTTGAAAAGTCTTTAGTTGGAAACTTCAGCACCCACCTATCAGTAACTGACAGACCCAGCATGCAGAAAATAAGTAAGGACATAGTTGAATTCAACACCACCATCCATCAACTGGATCCAATGGATATCTATAAGACTACATCCAACAACAGCAAAATATACATTCTTTTTAAGTTCACATGGAACATTCACCAAAACGGATCACATTTTGGACTATAAAACACACCTTAAAAAACTTAAAATAAAAATCATACAATATCTTCTCTCATATCACAATGAAATTAAAGTAGAAATTAATAACAGAAAAATAGCTGGAAAATCAAAAAATCCTTAAAGATTAAGCAACTCACTTCTAAATAACACATGGGTCAAAGAAGAAATCTCCAGAGATTTAAAAATATTTTGATTAAATGAAAATAAAAATACAACTTATAAAAATTTGTGGGATTTAGTGACAGCAGGGATAAGAATGAAATTTACAGTACTGATCGGATATATTAGAAAAGAAGATCTAAAATCTAGGGGCACCTAGGTGGCTCAGTGGTTTAAACACTTGACTCTTGATTTCAGCTCAGGTCATGATCTCATGGTTGGGAGATCAAGCCCCATGTTGGACTCTGTGCTCCGTGTGGAGCCTGCTTAAGGTTCTCTACCTCCATCTCCCTCTTCCCCTTACCTGCTTGCACAAATGCAAGCAAATGTGCACACGCTCTCTTTCTCTCTCAAGAAATAAAAATAAATAAAATAAAAAAATAAAATCAATAATCTAAGCTTCCACCTTATGAAAGCAGAAAAAGAAGAAGAAACTGAATTCAAAGTAGGCAGAAGAAAAGAAATAAAAAAAAATAGAGCAGTAATCAGTGAAATTGCAAATAGGAAATTGATAAGCCCCTGGCTGAGAAAATTAAGAAAGAAAGAGAAGATACAAAATACTAATGTCAGAAATGAAAGAGGGGATATTACTAAGATATTGTGTAATTAAAAAGTAATAAGGAAATATTATGAATACTTTTATGCTTACAAATTTGATAAATTGGATGAAATGAACCAATTCCTTAAAAGACACAATATGCTAAAACTTACCCAAGAAGAAACAGACAATCTGAATAAGCTTATAGCTATTAAAGTAATTGAATCATTAATTGGTAACCTTCCAAAATAGAAAGTACAAGCCCAGATGGGTTCATTGGTGAATACTGCCAAACATTTAAGGAAGAACTATATCAGTTTACTACCATTTCTTCCAGAAGACAGAAGCAGAGGGGATATTTCCCAAGGGAATATTTTCTTATTCTTCAAGACCAGCATTATCCAAATAACAAAACTAGATTTTGTTATCTAGTTTTTTATCTAGTCTATTTTGTTATCTACTAAAATTTTTTTCTTGTAAAAATTTACAAGAAAACTATAGACAAATATTTCTCATGATCACTAATGTAAATATTCTCAACAAAATATTAGTAAATAGAATATAACAAAGTATAAAAAGAATTATATACTGGGGTGCCTGGGTGGCTCAGTCGGTTAAGCATCTGACTTAGGCTCAGGTCAGATCTCATGATTCATGGGTTCAATCCCCGCATCAGGCTCTGTGCTGACAGCTCAGAGCCTGGAGCCTGTTTCAGATTCTGTGTCTTCCTCTCTCTCTTCCCCTCCCCCACTCATGCTCTGTCTCTCTTTGTCTCAAAAATAAATAAACTATAAAAAAAATTTAAAAAGAATTATATACCATGACCAAGTGGGATTTATCCTAGGTATGCAAGGTTGGCTCAACATTAAAAAATCAATTAATGCAGGATGCCTGAATGGCTCAGTCAGTTATGCGTCTGACTTCAGCTCAGGTCATGATCTCGTGGCTTGTGAGTTCAAGCCCTGCATCAGGCTCTCTGCTGTCAGCACAGAGACTGCTTTGGATCCTCTGTCCCCCCCTCTCTCTGATCTATCCCTGCTGGTTCTCTCTCTCTCTCTCAAAATAAATAAATAAACTTAAAAAAGTCAATTAATGCAATCCATCACATCAACAGGCTGAAGAAAAAAAATCACATGATCGGAGAGAGGGAAAGATGGCGGAGAAGTAAGGAGCTCCGTACTTGCACTCGCGCCCATACATCACACAGAAAAGATCTGAAGCCATTGGAAACCTTTCAAAACCTGAAAGATTGGGAGAAAAAGGACGCGGAATCCACTGAGAGAGGCTTCTAATGTGAGTGAGAACCAGGGAAGATAAAATCGGGCCGGGATCAGAGACTCCGGGGTCGGAGGCGATCCCCCTCTACCCTCTATGGGAAGTGAGAGGGGAAAAGGAGAGAGTCCGAAACAGAAAAAACCCTGCTCGGTGCATAGAAAGACCGTACTTGCCAAATACCTGCACACCAGGTCCCCTCGCGCCAACTAGGCCTGGGGGAGCTGAGCACACAAACTGCTTCTTTGTGCTGGCTCCTGGAGGCTGGACTTCAGAGTGGGGGCCCGCCTGCCGCCATTGTAGCTCCCGGGCGGCTGGGGCCCCTGAAAGAGCTGCGCGGACACCGGGCGTCCACGCTCCTGGCTGGCTGGAACTCGAGAGGGAAGGCAAGGAACTAAAAACTGGGAAATTAGCCTGTGAGTTCGTGTTTCAGGTGACGAGCCATAGAGGGACCCGGTTTTCCTCACTCCAGTGGACTCGGGCTCAGAGCACTCGACAGGCAAGCCCCCGCCCATGCTCGCCAGCCCGACCCACAGAAGGAAGCAGCGATTCTGACTCCAGCCCCAGAGCTCGGCAGGGCGCCTGGAATTGCCCGAGGGGGTTGCCTGGGAAGCTGTGTCTAAGGCAATTTCAGCCAGGCGCGAGGACTGGGATTTGGAGATTGGAACTGGCCTGGGTTGAAGAGTGCAACCAACTTCGGCTGTGCCCCCGGTACGGGGAGTTTACATGCCCAAAAAAGCGAGGAGCAGCGCTTGCTTCAAGAAGGGACTGGAGCACCGTCACTCTCCTCCCCAAAACCAAAAAGGCAGAACTCCCGCCTGAGGCATTGGATCACGCCACGCCCATCCCTGCCTGAGAGGTGCCCTCCTCCCTTTTTTTTTCTTTTTCCTTTTTTTGTTTTTTTCCTTTTTTTCTCTTTCTTTTTTTCCCCTTTTCTTTTTCTCTTTCTTTTTTTCTTCTTCTTTCTCTTTTTTCCCTTTTTTCCACAGAACACTGACCTGATTAACTCTGGTCGCCAGCTTCCTTAAACAATCACAACGAGTCCATTCTGTAAATATAAATTCTACACCTACCGACATTTTCAGCTATTTCTCTCAGGAGTGATTAGACTATATAGTTTATCTGGATAATTCCAGCACCCTTCTCTCACCTATCCAACCATATTCTACCCTTTACCTCTTTGAAAAAAGCTTCATATCCCTTCTGCCTGTTCATTCTACTTCCAATTTTGCCTCATCCCGCCCAGCCTTCTCTCTCTTTTTTTATGCTCTTCAGTCAGCACTGCATACACACGTCTATTTAACTGTAGCTGGGAAATCCAGGTATATGCTTTAAACCGTTCTTTGTCCATCGGTTTT